GGTGGGGGGGCCCAAAAACGGAGGGTCCCAGGGGTGGGGATGCGGGGCATGGAGGAGGGGCATGGAGGGGGTGTTGGTCGAGTTTGGGCGAGAAATCGCGGGGTGGGGGGTCCCAAAAACAGAGGGTCCAAGGGGTGGGGATGCCGGGGCTGGGAGGGGCATGGGAGGGGCATGGAGGGGGGTGTTGGTCGAGTTTGGGCGAGAAATCGCGGGGTGGGGGGTCCCAAAAACAGAGGGAAAACAGAGGGTCCAAGAGGTGGAGATGCCGGGGCATGGAGGAGAGGCATGGATTGGGAGGGAGGGCGGGGGGTGTGGTCGAGTTTGGGCGAGAAATCGCGGGGTGGGGGGTCCCAAAAACAAAGGGTCCAAGGGGTGGGAGGCCGGGGCATGGAGGATCGCGGGGTGGGGGGTCCCAAAAACAGAAGGTCCAAGAGGTGGGGATGCCGGGGCATGGAGGAGGGCATGGAGGGGAGTGTTGGTCGAGTGCGGGAGGAGGGCATGGAGGGGGGTGTTGGTCGAGTTTGGGCGAGAAATCGCGGGGTGGGGGGTCCCAAAAACAGAGGGTCCAAGGGGTGGGGATGCCAGGGCATGGGAGGGGCATGGAGGGGGGTGTTGATTGAGTTTGGGCGAGAAATCGCGGGGTGGGGGGCCCAAAAACAGAGGGTCCAAGGGGTGGGGATGCCGGGGCATGGGAGGGGCATGGAGGGGGGTGTTGGTAGAGTTTGGGACGAGAAATCGCGGGGTGGGGGGTCCCAAAACAGAGGGTCCAAGGGGTGGGGATGCCGGGGCATGGGAGGGGCATGGAGGGGGGTGTTGGTCGAGTTTGGGCGAGAAATCGCGGGGTGGGGGGTCCCAAAAACAGAGGGTCCAAGGGGTGGAGATGCCGGGGCATGGGAAGGGCATGGAGGGGGGTGTTGGTCGAGTTTGGGCGAGAAATCGCGGGGTGGGGGGTCCCAAAAACAGAGGGTCCAAGAGGTGGAGATGCCGGGGCATGGAGGAGGGGCATGGAGGGGGGTGTTGGTCGAGTTTGGGAGGAGGGTATGGAGGGGGGTGTTGGTCGAGTTTGGGCGAGAAATCGCGGGGTGGGGGGTCCCAAAAACAGAGGGTCCAAGGGGTGGAGATGCCGGGGCATGGGAGGGGCATGGAGGGGGGTGTTGGCCGAGCTTGGGCGAGAAATCGCGGGGTGGGGGGTCCCAAAAACAGAGGGTCCAAGGGGTGGGGATGCCGGGGCATGGGAGGGGCATGGAGGGGGGTGTTGGTCGAGTTTGGGCGAGAAATCGCGGGGTGGGTCGGGGAGGGCCCCGGCGAGGATGGCTAGGGACTGTGTGATGTGTGGGGACAACCTCGGATACAGCTGAGAAGGATTCCGCACACGCCTCATGGGGTCGGCGGATTCCGATAGTGTGTGCGATTGTGTGTTGCATGTGTACCCGTGTGAATGCAGCTCCCCCGTCGTCTGTCCACGCGCCCTATCGCCATCCCTCGTCCGCGCAGGTGCCTCGAGGACAGTCCGCACGCAGGCGTGCGGTAGAGCGCCGCCAGTGGCCCTGGGTCGGCCGGTGCCGCACGAATTGTGCGGTCGCGGTGCCAAGAACCAGCTTCGACGTCGCGGCGGCGCGAGCCCGCCGCAGTTTCGGGCGGTGAGAGAGGCGAGGTGCCCCTAGCCCGATGGAGCCCAGCTTGAAATACACTTGCATTCAGATTCCAGTCTATTGCAGGCGCATTCCCAGGTCAGGATTAGAATCGGTGTCCCTGTTTCCTACCTTGCTCATGGGAGCAGGCGGAAACCCAATCTACTTTCAATGCCTTCCTACGTAATGTTTTGTAAGTTCTCCCGATCGATACTTACTGGAGGACAAGCTGTGGGATGTTATGTAGAGCCGTCTGAGCTCCCCCCGCCTCTGTGGGCTTGATAAAACCACGTGGGGCCATAGTTGGGTTTTTTTCGGATGGTCTTGGGGGCCTTGCTGAGCTGGGAGGTTTGTCTGGAGCTCTTCGTGGGCCCTCGTTACCACATGATTTGTATTGTTTTCGTTTGCGCCCTCTTGGAGGCATCCTTGGGAGGCTCCCACCTCGAGCCGCCTTGGGGGCCCTTGGAGCCATGCTGGAGGCCATCTTGGGCTATCTAGGGTCATCTTTGAGACATCCAGGGCCAGAGTGAACGCTCTATCCCCCCGCCCTCCCCTGAACACATGCCCTCTACTCCCGAGGAGGCTGGGGGAAGGCTCACACCTCCACGAGAAAAAAAGGTCGAGGAAGATCTAACCCGCTAAACCACCTACGACCACAGGGCTCATAGGACTCCGTTGAACCAGTCAGTATGCCATCAAAGTCCCACACAACTTGCTACAACATCGCACAAGAAGGGTTCCCCCGCATGTGCTTTTGGGATACTTGTTCGGAGACGCGTTGTCGGGGCCTTCCGTGAGGCTTATGATGCCACATCGAGGGGTCATTCTGGCCTTCCTGGTTCGTGCGTCGTGTGAATACCCTCATTGGGCCGTTTGGACGCCTCTTGAGCCACCTTGGCCACCTTACCACCTGGGAGGTCTCTATGGTCCTCCTTGGCGTGTTGAGACCCCCCTGGCCCGTCACGGAGCCGTCCGAGCTCTTCCATGGGCCGTCCCGGAGCGCTCTGAGTGCCACTTTGCAGGGCTATTGGTCCCCTCTGGGAGTTCAGAAAGGGGGGTCTTGCCATGGACCGCCCCTGGCCCTTGACTACTTGATACGTACTCGCCAAAATCATGTCCCCCGGGAGAAGCCCGGGTCGGTCGTTCGAACACCGGCAGCCGAAGATCAGCCGCGCCGATTGGTGCATGGCGTGTTCGCCAACCGAGCGTTCTTGAGCTCGCGTTGCAAGCGCGCGCCTTCTGAGTCTTGGCCGAGTGCGACGAGAAGTGGCAGACATGCGCGCACCGTGGACTGCACGGCTCTGGGCGTCGGCGCATGGACCCATGCTGCGGCAGAGCGGGCCTGGGGGGGCAGGTGGAGATCCTACCCCAGCCGGAATATGGAACCGCCAGGCGCCATTGAGGAGGAGGAGCAGCAGGAGGAGGAGCAGCAGCAGCAGGAGGAGGAGGAGGAGGACGGGGAGGGGGAGGGGGGAGGAGGAGGAGGAGGAGGAGGAGGAGGAGGAGGAGGAGGAGGAGGGAGGAGGAGACAGGAGGAGGAGGGAGGAGGAGGAGGAGGAAGAGGGAGAGAGGAAAACGGAGAGAGGAGGAGCAGGAGCAGAAGCAGGAGCAGGAAGGAGGAGGAAGAGGAGGAGGGAGGAGGGAGGGAGGAGGGAGGAGGAGGAGGAGAATGAGGAGCAGCAGGAGGAGGAGAAGTTGAGGAGGAGGAGGAGGAGGAGGAGAGAGGAGGAGGAGGAGGAGAGGAGGAGGAGGAGGAGGAGGAGGAGGAGGAGGAGAGAGGAGGAGAGGAGGAGGAGGGAGGAGGAGGAGGAGGAGGAGGAGGAGGGAGGAGGAGGAGGGGAGGAGGAGGAGAGGAGGAGGAGGAGGAGGAGGAGGAGGAGGAGGAGGACGAGGAGGAGGAGGAGGAGGAGGAGGAGGAGGAGGAGGAGTTGGAGGAGGAGGACCAGTGAAAGACTCATCCCTTCCTCCAAGTTCCCTCTTCATATGTCCCTACAAGGTTTCTTTACACGGAGGAAAGTGTCCCGTTGGATGAGAAGACGTTACCCTCGCTCCCTCCGCCTGTCTTTGTCGCGGGCCTGCGCGCGCGTTTCCGCGCGCTTGGCTCGAGTACGATTTGTGAGGATTGGGCGCAGCTTGCGCATCCGCGGTGAAAGGTGCGCGCGCCTCCCACTTAACGCGCGCGCGTATCATCGCCCATCCTTATTTTCACGGAACGGAGCGTTGTAGAAATGTCCCATGAATTTTACCATCCGTCCACAAGATCTTAGAGAAGGAACACATGAGTTAGGAGACCCGAGTAAGGGCCACGTTCGTATGTCGGGACTGAATTCTGAGCCGTTACAGAGCATTATTCTGAGTGCTTCAACGCAGCGAATCAAGGTTATGGTGGCGCCCTGACGATCCTGAACCGCATCCGAACACAGTTCCTGGGACTTCCAAGCAGCGAATCAACGTGACTCCCTCGCCCTAACAGTCCTACAGCTTGCCAAAACACCCTTTCTGAGAGATCGGCAATCAGAATCCTCGAAATGGTTGTACACTGCTAAGACGGATGTGCGCGTCGCTGAAATGAGAGCCACAATTTGAAGAGGAACAGCCCTCCACCCCTGAAGCTCTTGCAGACCTTGAAGACGAGTGTACGCGGCGTTGAGGCGAGAGCCGCCTTTCGACAACGGCCCGCCCCCCCCTCCGAGTGGATCCTGCCAGCGGGTAAGACGAGTGTGCGCGGCGCTACAGCAGTCAACCCACACAGTCAGGATGGGCAACATTCCCAAGGGTACCCTTGCATCCTTGCATCCTCGGTCCATCCTTGGCCACTCTTGGCCGCGCCCCGCTCGAAAAGCTTCGAAATTGCGTCTCATGCCCTTGCATCCGTATCACGCGCATCCTTACTACACGGGTTGATTGTAAGGCGAGAGCCACATGTTCAAAACCACCCACCCTCATCAGTGAAGTTGTTGCAGATTTCAAGGTCCAGGATCCTAAATGGTGAGGAAGTCTCAGGCGAAACGCCCGGCCCGCCCTACCGACCCGTTTCGGGATGCGACAGGGAGGAGTTGTTTATAAAGAAAATGGACGAAGGAGGAGGACTACCGCTTGCGAGAGCATAGGTGCAGTCATTCAGTTGGACCCCCCAACAGCCCTCGAAGTTGGTGACAATTTCGCAGTCCGCAAACACCCAAGGATGGCGAAGTTGAATCTGAATAGGTGTAGCGCGTCACTCCGCTGGACCCCGCAGCAGCCCTCCAAAAGTGGTGACATGTTCGCAGTTCACAGTCCCCAACTGATGGCGAAGGCGAGCCTCAATCTGCGTCGCGCATCACCCAGTTCGACAGTTCGACCCCCCAGCAGCTCTCGAAAATGGTAACTATTTCGCCGTCCGCAGCCCCCCATGGAATGGCGAGGTCGAATCTGAATCGCATAGCGCGTCACTCCGCTGGACATCCCAGCAGCCCTCGAAAGTGACGGCCGTTTCGCAGTTCGCAGTCCCCCAGGTCGAGTCGGAATCTGCGAAGCACGTCACACCACTGGCCCCCTCAGCAGCCCTCGAAAGTGGCGACAGTTTCGCAGCTCGCAGCTGGTCCGCGAGCCCCCGACAGGCAGGCTGGCTGGCGGGCATGAGGCAGGCAGGCTGACAGGCTTGTTCGAGCCAGGTGAGAGGCAGGAGAGAAGAGGAGGAGGGAAGAGAGGAGACGGGAGGCGGGAGGAAAAGAGGACTGGAGGCAGCAGTGGTCTTTGAAAAGTTTGTTGTTGGAGGAGAGCGAAAGGAGGTGGGAAGAGGAGAAAGAAATCGCGACCGCAGTGCTCTAGTCAATACGAGAACTCAACGCAGAATGGTCGGTGAAAAAAATGCTCCAAGAGCGCCAGGTGCTCCACGTGCTCCATGTGCGCCAAGTGCGCCCCATGCTGCAGCCGTGCCAGGTGCGCGGCGCGCAGAGTGCGCCAGGTGCGCCTGTGCACGTGACAGCACACATCGGGCAGTACGCCGGTATTCCCGCCGTCACTGTCAAAAATCGGAGGCGACGACAGGAGCGAACAGCCCAGGGGGAGCAATACATGTATCCAGGCGCGCCGATCATCCATGCCTTCGGCGAGGCTCCCTGGCGAATACGTGTAATGCCCGCCCCTGGGCTATTCGCCCCTATCGTCGCCTCCGAAAAAAAAGCCACTGCAAATCGGCGGCGGGGTGGTCTTGCCAACCCCTTTGCTGGGAAGTTTGTAGTTTTACATATATATGTGATTATAGAGAATATAATCAGACTGTCCTGGAGGATCCAGGAAATCCTGCAGCCCTTTGTTGCTCGAGGAAAAGAGCGACCCTCACCTCCCCCCTTTCTCCGTGAGGGGGGTGGGTGCACGTGCATGGTAGCGGAGCTCGCTTGAGGTTCGCGGGCCGCTCCGCACCCAGGCGAGCTCCAAGAGCCCCTCGAGAGGGCCCAGCGGCGCGACGCCGCGGGTCCGGCAGCCAGCGGGACGATCCACGCGGCCGCCGAGCAGAGGACCCCTTGCTGGTCAGAGCTGCGGTCAGACCCGCGCTCTGACAGCGGTGGCCAGCCAGCCAACAAGGGCAAGGGCAAGGCCACGCTGAAGGCCAAGAAGCCGAACAAGCGAGGAGGCAGAGCGGCGGACACGCGTGAGCACCGCCAGCTACGAGGGACCGCTTTTAGGAAGCTTGCGGCGTGCGGCAGCAAGGCGAAGCTTACTCAGGAGGAGCGAGCAGCGGTGAAGAGGCAGCTGGCGAGCGACATCGAGAGGCTGGAGAAGCGTGTCACTGACGTGCTCGACACCCAAGATGGAGCAGCAGCTGCAGCAACTGGTCGATCAAGTTCAGAGGCTGACGACGGAGAGTCAGAACATGAGGCAGGAGCTTCAGAACAGGGACGTGCAGATCGCAGAGATGAGAGGACAACTGCAGGGTCAGCAGCAGGCTCAGCAGCAGGCTCAGCAGCAGCGGGTAGCCCCGCGCGGCGAGATGATGGATCCGAAGATCCTTCACAAGGTGAAGCCGTTCGACGGCCAAAGGTCAAGCTGGAAGACGTTCAGCTTCCAGTACAGAGCGTACCTGATCGCCCAGGATCGGAGGTACCGAGATCTTCTGGAAAGGTGCGAGGACGGAGCCCAGGAGGTGGACAACGTCAACCTGGACCCGCAGGAGGAAGAACTCAGCACGCAGTTGTACTACGGCCTGGTCCTGGCCATGCCCGAGGACTCGGTTGGCGAGCTGATCGTGAGGAACAGCCCAGTAGGAGAAGGAGCCGAGTGTTGGAGGAAGCTTCAGAAGGAGTACAACCCGAGCGAGGCAGGCAACGTGCTGGCGATGTGGACCAAGCTCACGGACACGAAGTTCGACACCAAGGAAGACGTGATGGTGAGCATCAGCAAGCTGGACGAGGACATGGCGAGGTACCAGAAGATGGCAGGAGAGCCCGTCTCGGACCTGATCAAGCGCGGCATCCTCACAAAGGCGCTGAAGGATCACGACGAGCTCCAGAAGCACGTGTTTCGGAACAGCAGTCGGTTAAGTACGTACGAGCTTCTGAGAGCCGAGGTGGTGTCGGCGTTGGCGGCAGAGCGAGCGGTTCAGGACGACCCGATGGAGATCGGAGCGCTGAAGGGCGGAAAGAGACCGTGGAAAGGCCGCGGCAAAGGGAAAGACGGAAAAGGCAAGGAGAAGCCACCGAATCCCGACGCCGAGATCGAGTGCCACTACTGCCACAAGAAGGGTCACCGCAGCGCAAACTGCCGAAAGCGGATCGCCGACGAGAAGAAGACACCCGAGAAGGACAAGAAGGACAAGAAGCAGTTCCGAAAAGAAAAGGCAAAAGAAAAGAAGAAGATCGGGGCAGCGGCAGTCAGGGAGCTCGAAAGGTTACGACAGACAGGAGTGGGCACAGGATCAAGCTCGACAGCACCGACACAACAGATGCTAGGAAGTCAGGGAAGCGCCGACAGCGCGATGACTCAGCAGGTGCTGCGCCCAGTCAACTGTGCGCTGCGAGCGAAGATGATTCTTGCCCTGAGGGCAGAGGTCACAAGAAGCGCAGCCACACGATCGACTGGAAGTACTGCTTGCCTAGCTACTACCAATATGTGTGCTGCTCTTGCAAGAAGACCTTTGAAGGACGGCGATGGCACTACGATCAGTGGAAGCTGGACTACTGTGCCGTGTGTGCCGAGTACTGCCTGGACGGCCTCAAGGACGGGGAAGAGACAGACGACGACAAGAAGCCAAAGAAGCGCAAGAAAGGCTAGATTCGTCGCTGACGACCGTCAGTGCTGCGATATGCCAGCTGCGGTGAGCCCCGCGCTGGCCGGACCCAGGCCTGTTACCATCGCTGGTCTTCGGCCCGTGGATGAAGATCAGAGCCCTGCGGATGACCGATTGCGGTTAG